GCATATTTTTAAAATATTCTTTTAGCTAATCACAGAAAATTGATTTTAAATAGGGACTACAACAAAATATATCAGGAGAAGTATTTTTTACAGGAAGTATACTGTTGGAAACCTTTTTTCTTTTCTAGTATCATGCATCTACTGTAAAATGAAAGCTACTAACACAGGGGCATGTCAGTATTTTTAACTGAAGGAATATTATGGAGATCTAAGCTGCAGTATAAGTAACCATTATTTAAAAATGCAGTGAGCAGGATTCAAGGATTTCACTGAAGTTATGCATCTCGTTTTTGAAATCTGTTACAACGCAGATTTTTAAAGATATCCTTATGATATTTATTACCCTTTTAAAATATCCTTTTGAATTTTTGTGCTTCTACAATAACTTCTTTTTTTTTAATTCTCTGTCCCTTAGTTGAAAGATTTATGTAGCCTTCTCCCACCGTGTGATGCTGGGAGGGGAAGGTCTCACAAGTTAGTGCAGATCAATGCAATTAGTTGATGTTCCCCTAGAGCTACTGCACATACTGCTTTGCTCATGAACTATTGTTACTCATTCTAACGCTTTAGACATAATGTTGAATGCAGAGATTCCTGTAGTTGTGTTGAAGAAATAATATTGAAATTGTATCATAAATCTGCTAGCAGACTGAAGACATAGCATGACAATTCTATTTCAGAGCAGAAGAGATTCCCATTCTTATTTTCACATGGTTGTAGTAGAGAGACCATTGTTTATGCCTGGCATTCAACTTAGATAAATTACATTGGAGGCTGCTTGGCTCAAATCATAGAAGCAAAAATATGAATAAGGGATCTTTCTTGATAGCAGCATAACTGAAAATATTTATCAACAATTGTGATGCTTATAGTGAAGAACACCACTGTTTTAAACCAAACATTTAAATAATTTTGAAACTACAGACTGACATAATTAGTTACTATTGCATGTGGAAAAAATATTTTTATCACTTCAGAAATACTTTAAACTATTAGTGAAATCAATAATTTTAATATAATTTGGGTTTTTTGGCCTAGATTTTTTAAAACAATTTCTGAGAGCAGGTTGTGTGGGTAATGCGTTCCCTTTATGCTTGTTTCTCAACTTGACTAGTCAAATATCAGAATTATTGTCATTGTGGGTTTTTTTCCATCTTTCATGCAGCAAAAAGGTAACATGTAATAGCAAATCTTGATTTTTTTTTTTTTAAGCTAATTTACAGCTAGTTCAAATGAGACAATGTTCTGTAAAAGACTGGGAACAAGAACAGGCAAGTTTGGCTCCTGGTAATATATTTGCTTCTAATGAGGTACTAAGTTTTCATCATATTAATGCAGGCCATCCAGAAAGTTGTTAGAACAATTTTAATTGACTGTACAGCAATGTGTAGATTGTCTTTGTTAAGTGGCAGTTTTAAATTTCAAGAGTTTTAGAAGTCCTTTTCTTCAGATTACAAAGATATTGTATTCAGGGAGCTGAATTTCAGACTACCGGTTTTATGGACTCAATCCTGTGCTAGATTAATTTGGATAGAATGATGTAACTAAGAGAGATTTTACTAAGATCTGAGGCATTTTAACATGTGATCCTGGTGATTTCCATTTCATTTTTTTATTTATTTTTCATTTTTGTTTAAACATTGTTCTTTGGTATACAAAGCTCTACATTGTGGATTAGCTTGATGACTTTCAACTTTATCTTCTGTGTTATCCTTGCATGAGTTGCAATAATTCGTTGGCAAGACTCTTTAATATGCTTGACTACTTCACTTGTGCCATTGCATGGGATTTTAAATTTAATAACGTGATTCTGATGTCTGGCATAGACTCTGTGTTTTTCATTCCTTAACAACTCTTTGCTAACATAGGTCAGTGCTTGTGAAATCACGAAGAAAGATATTTTAAGCTACTGTTGCTAACAGGATACAGTATAGTTAAACTATTACACAAGTAATTAAGTACTGTAATTTTGAAAACTTCATCACATTCCAGTAGATAGAATATAGGCTTGTAGTGCAAATGCTCTTGTTGTTAGAGAATTTTTATTTATGTCTTAGAGCTTATCATACCATCTTCACAAAGAGATAATCACTTTTGATATTTCTAATACTAACATTTGTCAATAATTCAAACAATAACTTCAAAGAATTTCAGAGAAGTATGTGTTTTAGAGAAGAAAATTATACTCAGGAGGAGTTTCTCTCTGTCAAACAAGTGGGTGCTCAGTAAACATATATCACTGTTAAAAGTAAACAAATACTACTATTGCACTTTCAGCCTGTGACTTGTATCCTTCTGTCCTTGCTTTCTCTATCCTTTTACCATGTTTTTTTATATTTTGGTGTATTAATTAATTAATTTGGTGTGTAACACAACACTGAAGAATAGTAATAGCATACTCGGGAATAGATTGTCACTTAATAAAAATCAGATATTGGGGAGGGCCTGGAAAGTAAGGAGTTCCAGTTCGTGCTTACTTAAACATCAGGGAAAGGAGGAAGGCCACTCATCATGCTGAGCAAAGGTGATGTATACTGCCAGAGAGAAGAAACTGAAGCGGTGGAAATCTGGCTTTTTAAGAGCACCTGTTAAATAGCAAATTTGAACACTAGCTGTAATTTTAATAACAGTTTAATAACAACAGATCAAATTACTGTCTGTGCAGCCCTGACAGTATTTGAAAAAGAATAGCCTGTAGTTGCCATTTTTTTGGCTAGTGATAAACACATAGTGGGCATAATTTAATACACATTGCCCCTTTTTTCTGAGGACTCAGGTTAAACACATTAGAGCTTGCAAGCACTTGGCTGAGAAGTGTCCACTTAATAGAGAGGTCCTCCGAGAAATAATGCTAATCACTTTTTCCTCTGACAGTAGATTCTTTGATGATGCAATTCTGGCAGATATCCAAGCTATATATGTTATAAAATTTTAGAAATTTTGTAAATATGAAGATGATGCACTTACGTATATCCTACTTATCTTGAAACCTCTTTGTGTTTTGACTCAAGGTACAATTTTGTGCTATGGCCAAGCTGATATAATGGCAAACTGCTACCGTAAGGGGTGTTCCGTACCGCTTGGCTTTTTACAGTTGAAGGATGAGTAGGTTGAAGATGGCTGCTGTGATGGAAGTGTTCTTTCATGGTTGTTATTTCTGTATGTGAATCACTCTTGGCTGCTCTGTCAGTGACAAACACTGTGGCTGCATGATCACTCTGTTCAATACCACAGGAATGCATGGCTGGGGACAAGGAATGGAAGTAAGACTGCCCTTTTTTTACTCAGCTGTGTCAGCTTAGTTATAATTTCAAAGTCCAAACTCAGGAAATGGATGCAAGAAAAAACAAGGATGCCACAAGAACCAGTAGAGCAGAAGTTTCTCAGGACTTGCTGAATGACTGAAACTGCAAGACAGTCTTCCACAGCAGTACTGATTCGAGGCTTTGTACCTTTCTTACCCCTTCCTCTTTCTGCACCAGACCTTAATCATGCCATGTAACTATGGGCTGCTGGTGAACAATATAAAGATGTGGCTGTGATGGAAGATTGTTCTTACTGTTAGGCTCTCTCTTATGCTGTCTCCTCTCCCTTCAAGGATTATGCATGGTCTTTGCAGAACTGAGCATCACGTTAAAGTCTGGCTGGCATGAAGAGTGATCCCACTTGAAGTAAATGGAAGGCTTGAAATTATTTAAAGAATATTATAGATAGATACAATGCTTTAACAAAACTTAGAACAACAAAATCACTGCAAAAAATGACCACTTGCTGGTAGGATAGCATGTTTTAGGTAAATGCAGCTTGCTTCTCAGACCTAGGATTCAGTAATTATTTATGTTGAGGTCACTGGTATCATTCAGTATCTGATTCCCTGCATACTACAAAACTGATACAGTATTTTAATATTGAAAAAAATATAAAAATGAAATGTGTAACACGATAATATAACAGCTTGATGTAATTGTTGTTACCTAAGACTAAGTTCAGCTATTTTGAGGTGACAGAAACTTCTGAACTTACGTATTGAAAGCTGAAAACTGAAATTCCTGCTCCTTACAACAAAAAGAAGCCTTGGAGCAGGGCTCTCCCACTTTGAGTCCTGCTGGATTTGCTGCTGAGCTTTAGCTCTTTCCTTCCCTAATATTTATGCATTTCAAAGCAGCTGCAGACTTCTCCACTTCAACTGTGCTGTCAGAGTTCCTTCTGGATAAAAAGCCAACTTAGTGCTCAGAAGGAGTAAACCAACTTCTATAATGCTGCATAAAAGAATGCAAATATATCCACATCTGTATTAAGATGCTGTAATGTGATGGAGAGAAAAGGAAATAACTAAGATCAACAAATCCACCTGTAATAATACAATTACTCTATTGCCCTTTGGATTAAAATAAATTATATGCTACCTTATCTGACAAGTCTTACTTTTGCTTTAAATATGTTAACCAAATAAATAGAACCACTTTTCCTCCTTGCAAATCTTGATGCCAGGCTAGCTCCATAGATACATATGAGGACAAAATTTTCAGCCTTCTTGATTTTTTAAAATGTTTTCTTATGAAATAAAGAAGGGAGAGCTCGTTATACAGTGATAGTGCCAGAGTTACGCTGCCGATTGGCCTGAATAAAAAGGTAACGTATGTGCTTTTAAGGTTCCTTCGTCTAAATGTTCAGCAGCAAGTTAACTTTTGGCACAGAAGGGGCAATAGATTGCAGCATTGAAAAGTAAATCCTTTTTGAAACAGGTGGTTTAGTGAACATATTGTGACCTTATGTAAGAGCATTGACTGATATCCCCTGAGACAGGGGGATGACATGTGGAAGGATTATGATTCCAGCTATGAGTATTAGCAATATCATCCTTTCTATGTCAGATTTCACAAGGTAAAAGATTTGCATCAGAAAATATTGAGAGAAAATTGTGCTTCTGCAGGTTGGTTATTTGTCATATTAAATTTGCCATAATTAAGTTTGACAGGCTTCTTTTTATTTTTTTCCAGCAGACAATATTATTGCTGAAGATTAGTCAGATGCCCCTGCCTCACATGCTATGTCATGCAAGCTTTGAAACACTTAGCGCATAATTTAAATGAATCACTAATTTGGCAAGCATAATGGAAGGCACGCATACTATCCTTCACTTGTACAAACCGATTATGGAGCTTTGTTACGTCAGCTTCTATCTTCCAGAGGGAAAAGTCAGAGAATTTAGTTACACGGGCCGTGTAACTCTGGACAGAACCAGTAAGCGTTTTTACAATTGCTATCAAGTGAGGGAGAGGTCAGAGATGGAGCTGAGAGAACAGCCTCATGAAAACTTTGGAAATATTTTTTTCAAGCAAACTACCACGAAAGATATTCTCATTGAGCTGTTCAAACTAACTGCTGAAAAGGAAAAACTGTTATCCGGTCTTTTGAGATCTCATCATATTCTGGGCATGGGAAGTCAGGAGGGAAAGCTACAAGATGCTTCTGGAGGGTCAAAGCTTAAAGGCAACGATAACTCCAGTTTTATGCATCACCAGGAGTTCTTTCTGGATTCCACAGATAAAGACAATTTTAATCACAAGAAAATGAGTAAATACATGAGGAAAGAGAGCTTTGAGGAATTGACAGGGAGGAAAGGGAAAAGGAAGATATGTGAAGAACATCCCTCTGTGTTGAGTGAGAAAGACATACAGTTGGAAAATGAGATGTTTTCTACAGCATTTCCTACCAGGAACTTTCCCAGTTCCTCTTCTGCCTCCAGTTGGCTAAAAGTAAAAGATAAGGATGATTTACCAGTAGATATACGACCAGAAAGATGGATAAAAGAGGGGTATTTTCTCAAAAGCAATAAAACTTTGAAACTGGATGCTGACTTACCCAGTTCTGTGTCGAAAGATGACAATGACATGGTTGCAGCTGAACTCTTGGATAATGGAGAAAGTATTCCTAAAGTTAGGAAGGTTCAGCAGAGTGTCACTTTGGAAAACTTGTATCAGGACAGTCTGTCTAACAAAATTGAGTCCCTAAGTAAATCTTCAGCTGCTAAAAGCTCGAAAGCTAACAAGCATACCGAGCAGGTATGCAAGGAGAAACCAGAAATCAGAGCTGTTGCTGAAGTACAGGATTCGGGAGCTTGTTTTCAAAAAGTTGTAAAAACCCACACAGAGTCTTTACTTGATTTTCAAGGAGATAAAGAAGCTGTTTCTCCTGTTCTCACAACAGTACACAATGAGTGCATATCAAGAACTGATGTATTCTTTGTAGATGAAGCTGCTGGAGACTCTAAAAACTCTGTGCTGCCGGAAAAGGAGCGAGATGACTGTGTTTTGCAGTACAAAGGAGAGAGAGTGCCCATTACTGATGAGTCATGCAACCTTGTGGGAGCAGTCAATAAAGCCCTTCTGAAAGTTATACAGAGCGACAGTTTAGATGAAGCTGCAGAATGGAAGAGACTGCAACAAATTACAAGAGCAGACAGAAACCTGCCTGGCTCAGTATATGAGAAAAGAACCACCGTATCCCGGGGAAGCAGCAAGCATTTATTTTTGAACCTGCCTGTAAATGAATGTCCTGATATTTCTCAGACAAGTAATAATCTTAAACCAGAAGAGAAAAGGCTGCACTCACCCTCGTTAGTAGCAGTGAGTAATGTTTTTAGTAATTCATATCCACTGTCTAATACGCACAAACAAATGTCACCTATTCCTTCTCCTTTATCTTCAAGATTGCCTAGCCCGCAGCTGCATCATCGGATTCTCCCATTACCTACACAGAACAGTGAGGAAGAATCTATGTTCAGTGACTATTGCAGGGCGAGACACGGCGCTCTAAGCCTCTCTTTCAATGATTTGGAGCCACAGTTTTATCTGAAGTTTTCTGAACCTGGAGATTTGGGATTTGCCATCAGACAACCAGGCCTACAGCAGAATGCAACTGCAAGGCATTTTGAAAAGCGCACTGTACAAGAAAAATTAACGACTCAGACACAGCAGCATTTCCGTCCAGGTTAGTCCTATTTCATACATTTTTAAACTAACAGAACGGACCAAACATGAAAGTTTCATATGAATGCTTTCTAATACTAGCCTTTAATAATAAATAGTATGTTTGCAATGAAGATATTTTTTACTACTTAAGGATCGAGTGAAAAACTGTTCAATTTTTTAAACAAAAATCATAGCTTTGTAAGGTCTACTTTCAAATGCATTGCTTTATGTCAGCTTGTATTTGGTGGTGTTGTTACTGAATGACCTCTTAACCCAAGTTAAATAGGTATTCAGACAGGAAACATATGAAGTTTTAGTATTTCTTTCATCAGTTAACTACATATGATTTGTCAATTTACTAAGAAAGGTATGCTAATATATTAGCTAGTATAATACCCTAATTAGATAAATTTTTTTCTATACAAATGAAGAAATGTTTGCATGTTTATTTTCTTTTCTGTGTTCTTGTCTGTCAAAATGTTGTGAGAACTTTTATTATCTAAAGTATTCTTTGTGCTCTGACTTAACTGATAGAATTTTGTATGAGGAAGCTAATATACATAGCCTTGAGTATAGGACTGGTGTTTTGACAATTTAGCTACAAGAGGTTGATGTAAATTCTGTAATAACAAAACGCTTTATTTTAAAAGTATTGCATGCAAGAGTCATGTTATGCTGTATCTGAGTAATGTACATGGGTATATATATAGAAATTGTGAATATAAATATACATAAAGATATTGCATATCGCACAGTGACCTTTGTTAGCTAGGACTTCAACACGTACATTTCTTCTTTTTTTTCTGTGAAATGGAAAAGCTGGCAGACCTACAGAGGTTTAGGTGTGGCTTAGACTGATCTGTGTGTGTTATAGGGAGAGCTGGAAGTATCCTAGTGACATGGTTTCACTATAAAAGGGAACAAGATACTGATTTGCAACCTTAAAACTTTTCAAGGAAAATAGAATACTTTTCTCTAGTCTCAAAAGGGGAGCAAGGAAAAATAAGGAAAAAAATTTATTTCTTAGTATTTTTATCCAGACTTTGAGCTGCTTGTGTGAAACATCTTCCCCTCTACCCCAACACACAATTCAAGCTAGCGGCACGTTCTTGACCACTATAGAGCGTATTTGAGTCTCTTGACATATCTTTGGCTAGTCCAGCTAATTAAAATGGCACAAGATATCTTGGTCTCCGTCCCCCTACCCCGGGGTAGTCCACCGTTTTAGTTAGACAAACTGCCTCACAAAGGGGTCCAATGAGTGAGTGCCAGAGCTGGTGCAAGGTGAGTTATAGGGTGCTGCCGTCTGAAACAGGGAGGAAGACATGGGAGTGAGGAGAGCGGGGTTCCAGTAGGGGAGCTACGCAGGCACGTGGAACCGTAACCTTAGTGAAGGGTTGTAGAATACTGCCTATGAGATCTGGAGCTATGCCTGCTACTTCCAGAAGTTGCTCTGTAATTCTAGTTCCAGTCAAAATTAAATCAAACCTTAGAGTGCTGTGTGACAAGTTGACTAAGCTGATGTAAAAACTCACTGGCAACAAGAAAGACACGTGCTACGCTGTCATTCTTTCTTACTAGATTCCTGTGGTGCTGTGTTGTCCCATCCCTTTCATTACTTTTTGTACTAATCATCTCTTTTGGTGAGCTGGTTTAGCTCATTAAATCAGCAGAAAATTTCATCCCTCTATAAGACTAAGAGTAGGATGACCAATCTTTTTCTCTCCCTTTGTATTAGTATTTTTTATATTACCTTATCATTCCCTACATGTAGAACTGGACCTATTGTGCTGCCTTCTATTTAAAAAAAAAAGCCCCCCCCCCCCCCAAAAAAAAATCTGTTGACTGAAAGTCCTAGCTATTAAGCAAGAACATGATTGTGGATATAATGAAGCACAAACACACAAGACCTTAATTCTTCTTTACAGCTATCTTGCAACATTACTACAGGTGGAAAATGTCAATGCAACTTTCTGAAAGATGCAATACTATTGTTTTGTTTCGTTCTCATGTATGACTGCATGCCAGCACTACTATTCGTGTGTCAGAAATGACGGTGACTCTAAGCAAAAGGTTCGTATGTCACCTGCATGTATAACACTACAGATATGTCGCTGGATCTAGGATAATATGACTTTCTATATTGTTCCTAACTAGGAATGAAATCATTCTTATTACCCATGTGTTGAGTGTATCACTCTTCTGTAAACCAACATAAGTAATAAGGAACTGACTATACTACAGTGGGGCAAACGATGGATCTCAAAGTTTAGGCAGCGTAAGTGATGCTGAGATTTACGGGTGTGGTTTGGACATGTTATAGATACCAACTCAAGGAAGGAAAAAAAAAAAAAAAGGTGATCCTGGTTTGATCCTTACCAGTTTCCTCCCGGGTAGGAACAGCAAAATACAAGTGTTGTTCAGATTTGTCTTAATGGGATAGATACTGTTGTGAAATTATTTGTCTCAAGTCTAGTCTGAGAATTATGGAGCTTTTCAGTTGTCTTGTCTCTATCAGTCAGCTGCTTGAAGGGTTTATTTTGTGCCCCAAATGTTGGGGTTCTGAACGACTTTTCAAAGTTATATTATTGTCACAGTTTGCGATACTGAATACCGCAGTACCTTTGGAATCTTTTATTACCTGAGTAACTTTGTGTTGGGAAAATTTCAGGAATGGAGTAAAGTATTTTAAGTACAAAATCTCAAAGTTTTGCAGTTTAAATAATGAATTACACTCATCATACAGCTCTACACATAATTTCTTATTCTTTTCCTCAGTTGTTTAAATCCTAAGATTCTTCCCTCTCTATTTAATCAGAGCATGTTTCTACCACAAGAGCAGAGACATTTAGCTGAGGCAGAGTGCCTTTAGTTATGTACTTCCATTTTTTTCTGCTATTTCAGTTTCTTCACAGGAAATATTTATGGCATAAGTCTCAAGTTTTGCTGCACCAAGTTCTGTCAATAATTACTTGAAAGTATAGATTTCTGGGTCTTCCTGTTGAAGTGCAACTGCTGGCCACAGCTTTTATATAGTTAATAGTGAACGGAGAAGAATTTATAGTTCAAAAGTAATTATTTAGTAATTTTCTCTGGAAGTTGAACTGGGGATTAACATTCCTCATTTTGCATATAGTACTTCCATTTGAATTATCAAAGTTATAAATAAAAGCTTAAAACTAAATGAAGGCTTTCAAGAAATAATAATCTGTTTAGCATCAAGCAACAAGAACAAAAATACTAGCACTTAAATGTTTCATAAAAAGATATTTACTAAATCCTCAGAAACATGTCTTTCTATAGGAAGTCCGTTCTACTCTAACATACAAACACATTACGTTTTTCTAACCCTACAGTAACCAAGTTTGCTTTAGAAACCATCCTCAACGTTCTTTCATGCCTGTCTCGGGGAAAGACTTTCTGAATCCTTTTAGTTCCTGACTACGCTTCTCTCTCAAGATAATGTTTGCACTGGCAAAAAAAGCTAGGGAGAAACTCTTCAGAGCCATTTTATTTAATTAATAGGGAATGACGCTGGCATGCTGTCTAACTAATTATTGCTGGAGACAGGAGGAAGATTAGTGGTATTTTTAGCAGTTATGAGGGGAATCTGATTGTCAGAACAGGAAATGTAAAAAATAAATTGCTAGTTATGACATAACCTTTATGACTTAGGGTAAGTCAGTTGAGATATCAGAGTATCCCAGGAGAGTGGCCTTGCTTTAAGTCAGTAGAAGAGACTGGGCTGGATTATTCACTACACTTCTTTTTTATATATGTTAATGCTGCTGTGTAAAAAGAATGAACTGGTAAGGGGCAAGGGTGAAAGCAAGAAAGAGAATAGATGAGGTGGATGATGTTGCCCTAACCATCTCAGCCAATCAAGATTACTCCTTTTTTGATATTTTGGAGTTGTGAAAGAAGAATGTATCTGATTTAAAGACAGGCATTGAAAATTAGAAGGACTACAGAGAAACTGAAACTATCATGTGAGGCACAGCTGAGTGATTAAAAAAACTAGTGCCAGATAATATGGTTGAGCCTATGGCATTCAAAGGGGCAGGTCCATTCTCTTCTTATTGTCTTCCCTTGTCCCAGCAAAGGACTCCTCTCATTATCCCTGTCCCCTTGAAGCAACTCTGATGTTTATATTACCTTTTGGCAATTTGAGTCAGTTCACTAAGCCAGTTGAAAACAAAGCCAGCAAGGAGAGGGGTGAACAGCTTTTGCTGGTTTAGTGAGCTAAATTGGCTCACTAGAGGTCTGACGAAAACCAAAGCTAGTGTGAGGAAAGGAGTGGGACTACACTACCAGAACACAGCAGGGACAAGGGAGTAAGACCCCCGCTGGCAGAAGAGAATCATTACATCTCAAATATCTCAGTTGCATCTCAAAACTGGAACCCAGGAGACTGGCTGGGATTGGCTAAAAGACGTTGCTGGGAGTGGCAAATAAACAGAGATGAATGAGATGGGATGAGGATTCAGAGAGACTGGGATCTTTCAGGCAGGTAGAGTAGGCTTAGTTAATAATAGTTCAGGAGGAAGAGCAAGAGAAGAGAGACAGTTGAGAAAAGGCAACTGGAACAGACTGGGAGGGAGCATGACCTTTTCTGGAATGGAGAATAGGAATGGAATATCACAAAACAAATGGAGCAGGACAGGTTGGAGTTGAGAGGATTAATTTTTTGTGCAAATTAGTAGGAAAATGGGCAAAGGGATTTGTCACACTGGATGTGTGGCATAAGGGTAAACATTCCAGTCTTGCTGATGATCCATGAAGAAGTCGGTATGCCATATGGAATTTTAGAGAGGCAAGGAAGAGAAGGGAGGAAGAAAGATGAAGTGAAGGGGTTTGTTTTTTTAAGTCTTAGAAGTTATAATGTTTATTGTAATGCAGGGAAGGCATCTTAGCTTCTGGAAGAGATTGGTAATTTATTATTTGATTTGATTATTTCTCAAAACCATTTCATATATTGACTAGTCAGACATATACCCAAAAGTTTCTTGAAGCATATTC